CTCATTGTTTCAGCTAAACAATAACCTAAGACAGTAGATAGCCGCCAGTGCATCCCTATCAGCCAAAGCCTAAGCAAGAAAAGACTTTTCTTATTCTCATGGCCTTCAGCCGGGGACCGGCTGCTACTCAGATATCAGAACTTTTTTCTATTTAGAAACTCCTAACTCAAATAACTTCATTTAAAAACTTTCCCAAGAAACTTCAAGAGAAGGCAAAAGAAGGACTCACTGCAATTGTTGTGCTGGATTGCTTGTCAGGCATGCACAACAAATCGTCTCCCATTGTCAATTGGGCCAAACTGCCCAACAACTAATTTTTAAACAAACAATTTTTTGTGCTATTTACTTACAGTATGCTGATACATATAATTTATTGCCTAATATACTTTCTGATAAATTTTTTTCTCTCCATGTCCAAGAACAAAAAGCAAAGGGATGCCAGATCTTCAGCCCCACGGTGTGAGGCCTTTTCTCTTAGCTGCTTGTTAGTATCCCATCCGGCCGGGGCAACACCTCTGCAGCACCTGACGGTCCACATTTCACTCTGGAACCTCCAGGGTCAGGGGCAGGCAGGTCTTCCCAGGCACACACACCCCCTCACCTCACACTGTCACCCTCACTGATTCTCCATCTCTGCACTCTCTCCCCAGCCACTCAGGGGGTTCACTTTGTCCACATCTGCTCCACACTGGGAACACCATCGTCTAGATCTCCCCCTGCCAGTTGACGTTAAGTGGTTATCTCTGTTACATCCCACTCCAGGACAGACTGGACACAACACTTCAGGACAATGATGAGCGCAAGGACAGAAGACATAGTGACCCTGGCTGAGGAGGCCAGATCTGTGTGGATGGTCCTCAGACCTCATCTTGCCTTGTGCTCACAGCTTTTGTCAGGAGTGCACTGATATGTGGAGTGATGTGGGCCAGCGTGGCCCAGCAGAACCAGAGAGGAGACAAGACCTCAGGTCCCTGAGGAAAGCCTGGAAGTAGTTTTTTAAAAACACCACCTTGCTGGGGTAGAAATTGCTTCAGAATTAAAAATGGAAACTCCACATGATCTGACAATACCTGCTCCTCATCCCTGACCATCTACATTTCACTCTGGAACCTCCAGGGTCACAGACAAGAGGTCTTGCCCCAGCACACACACCCTCACCTCACTCTGTTTATCACCCTCCTCACTGACTCCATCTCCACACACTCTCCCAGACACCCAGGGGTTCACTCTCTCCACATCCGCCCTACTCTGGGCACTGCCTGTCTTTTCTCTCTTGTCACTAAAATATCTCATACATTTCCTGACAGTGGAAGCACAGGGAGGACATGTTGGAAGCTGACCCATGCTTAGGAAGGAATACAACTCTTTGCTAATGCGTAGGAAAAAAAGTTTGTTCCATATCATGTATGATACAGAAGTGAAGCATAGTTTAAACTTTTGATAGGTTTTTAACAAAGAAAACACTTGGATCCAATGCTTCCAGACAGGAGGAAGTGGGATCCTATGGGGTCTCTGAACCTGCAGACAGGAGTCCACCAAGAAATTAGAGGATCCATCCATCAAACCTTCAATCACACACTCATAACCCCAAGAAAAGTCATAGCTTTATAGGAAGTTCTCCCGCCCTGGTCAGTTACCTGTGGGCTCCAGCATATCCTCCCAGTGTGGTAGGAATTCCTGAAGCCAGTGACTGCAGAAATGTCCCCTGGAGATCTTCCTGAAATACTCTGTCAGGTTCCAGTTGTGCTCCCACTCCTCCCTGACCCCGCTGGCTCCTGGACCAGTGGTCAAACACTTCCCACTCATCGCATCAGAGAGGAGGGCCCGCTGTCCATTGATGCTGAACTCCCAGGATGCACCAGTGCCTCTGTGTGCTTCACACTGACAAGACAGCTTGGCCTGCAGGGTGGGGGGATCTGCCATCCACACACAAACACCTGGCATCACTGTGGCTGCCCCATCTCCCCCAGTAGGTGGGGGGGAGGAGTTACTGTCTCTGCACAGTTAGGGGCCTGGGTTCTTCTCTCCAGGTCTTGCCCCACCTTGTCCATCAGGTTCACGAGTGTCTAAGGTAGGACAGTGTTCAGTTTTCACACAAAGCCCTTCCCCCCTGGGCTGCTCCCTCCCTTCTTGGCCCCTGTCTCCAGCCCCCTGCGCCTCCCCACACTCACCCCTGGTCCTGGTTTTCTCCAGTTTGATGTGAGGCAGGATCATCCTGAGCTCTCTCCCCACTTCTCCCAGTGTCTGGGTCAGGTCTGTCCATGTCTTGGTGGCCTTTACCTTCTCCCCCAGGGGACCCAGAGGCATGACCTTGTGGCTGTCACAGTCATACTGAAGGAAAGGGTTTCCATCCACTGAGCCCTGGGCTGCACCCCAGGGCTGCCCAGGTGGAGAGTGAGATGTGACAGTGAGGTTGAGGCAAAGAGAATGAGCAGCAGCTGTGAGAGAAAAACTCAGGTGAGGCCTGGGGACCCTGGGCAGGGCCTGCTGCAGAGGGAGGCGTCTCCCTCCAGACCCTCATCATCTCAGTGCTGCTCCACCTTGAACTCTCTGGGGGTTAGTGAAATACTCTGAAGCCACCATGGACTTCCTCTTCCCTGGGGGATTCCACTGATAACTATCTTCAGTGTCATAATCTAGCTGAGAGGACTTTCCACAGGAAGGAGGAAAAAACACCGCAGGATATGGGGAACGTCATGGTGACCGGGAGGGTGAGCTGCCTCCTGTGAGCCCAAGGAGACAGAAGGTGCCTTAAGCTGAGTTTCTGGAACTGGGTGTAACATCCCGGTAGCCTGTCTACACAGACCACACCCTGGCTCTCTCTCAGAGAAGGGAACAGGTGCCCCCTGCTGAGACCTGCCCCAAGTCCCTCTGCTCAGGTCCTCCCTCTACCCTCCTCCCCAGGAGACCCCAGGACACTCACAGCCCACAGTCGGCCAGGCTGGTCCCAGCAGCAGCAGCAAAAGAAAACACAGGGTGTGAGAGGCCAGGGCCATTCCTGCTGAGAGGGTGAGAGAGCAACTGGTGAGAGTCACCTGTGCCTGGAGTGACACCTGGGGTAGAATTCATACATAACTAGAGTGGACACTATTCATTCCTGCTCCCAATTAATAAGGACGACCTTGGATAGGACTCACCAATGGCTACGAAGTATTTTGCAAGTATTTAATTATAACAGATATTAAACAACCCAAAATGGGAAGTGAAGAGCTCAGGGGCTGTGGTGACGGGTCATGGCTGGTATGGTGGAGGGAAAGTATCACAACCTCAAAGCAAACCCCAAAATTTACTTGAATAACCTCTCACCTCTCTTCTCAGGATAACACCTTAAAACCCTTTCTCCATCCCTGTACCTGGGGTTGGGGGTGGGGCAGGATCTGTGAGCTCCTCTCCTGTCCCACCAGCCACAACTTTCTTCTTCCCCCCTCTTTCCCTCCCTCCTCTTCCTTCGTCTTCCCATCTATTTCCTCCCATTCCCAAACTCTTTCCAACTCTTTTCCCCTCAGTGAGGAGGATCTTCTCCCCCAAGGCTCCCCAGGGTCCGTCAGCCAGCTGAGGCGGCAGCGCCCCGCCCCTCATCGCAGCTGAGGACCAGCCCCAGCGCCGCCTCCCGAGGGGAATCCCTGGGGTCACCTTGTTCACACGCGGCCCTTGAGCCGCACGACCCGGAAGGCTCGAGCCGGACTCCCCGAGGGCGGGTGGGCCGGACCGGGACAGGCCGCTCTGCGGGTCCCAGAGGGAGAGACGAGCCCCTGGGGTGCTTCTGGCGTCCGCGGACCGGGCTGGCGCCGCGATGCCACAAGTAGCAGGACGCACGTGTGTGACCAACTAATTGGGTCGATTAATTTACCTGTCGCTCACTGCTCTCCCGACTTGCCCCCCCCACCTTCTTCCTCCCGCCCCGCGCTCTGCCTCTGCACCCCCTTTCTCAGTAACCTTTCACTTCTCTCTGGAGTGGCTTTGGGTTTCCCTGGAATCCCAGGCTGAGAACTCGCGCCCAGTCACCCCGTCTCCGCGAGGCGCCCCGGGACAGTCGCGGGGCTCAGGAGAGGAAGACGCTCCTCCCGCCCTGCCCCACCCGCGGCGACCCCTCCAGGCGCCGGGGAGCAGAATCCCAGCGGAAAGTCTAGAACCTTCCTCCCACTGATCACCGGCCCGCGTCCAGGCGGCTCCCCAGCGCCCGGCGCGCCCCGCCCTCCCGGCCCCCTCGGGTGGCGCTTCGGGGGGGACGCGCCCGGGGCTGGACTCGGGGGCTGCTCCCCTCCGTCCGTCCTCACCCGAGTCCCCCGGGAAGCAGAGCCCAGCAGGGGCGTCCCTGACGGAGGGCGGGAATAGAAAAAATTAAAACCTAAAAAGGGGGCGCCTCAAGCCCAGAGCCCGGCTCCGGGGCGGGGGCGAGGAGAGGAGATACGGTAGACGCAGCCGGGGCCCGAGCGTCCTGGGCGCGGACTCTGGACACGGAGATTCCGACCGCGGCAGCATCGCGGGTCCCCCTCAAATCCTGCCGTTCTCACAAGAGCACCCCGCTGACAGCTCGCAGCGCCGAGGCCTCCCCGCCCAGTAGACGCCAGGGGACCCCCGCGCCTCCCGGGGGCCCCCGCCCCGCGTCCCGCAGACGCCGCGACCTCCCCGCCCGTCGGGGGCCGCGGCTGAGGGGCTCTTCCCGCGGGAACCCCAGGACCCCGCGCTCACTCGAACCTCCTCAGTCCCGCAGGGAGGACCCGGCTCCCCCCGCACCCCAATCCCGCCCGCGGGTGGGGAGGGTCCCCCGACGGCATCTGTGAGGACGGGGCCGTCCCCGCGGGGGGCCCGGGGAAGGATCGCGGTGGCGCGCGCGGGAGGCTGTGGACGCGCTCAGGGCGGCGAACTCCGGGGCCAGCTCGCCCGGGACTAAGGTTCAGCGCAGTTTAGTCACCAGCGCTGTAAGAAATTCTCCCCTCTCCAGCGCCCCGGCCCCGCCCCCGGGGAAAGGCCCCACCCCGCCCTCCCCACCGCAGGCTCTTCCGGACTCGGGGCGCCGACTCCCCGGGGCTCTGGGTTCCCGCGCTGGTGATGGAGCCCCTTGATCACCACAGGGTCTGTCCCACCAAGCCGTGAAAAGGAATTCGCAGACGTTTTTAGGTAAGTCAGCAGAGACAAACAAACTGTGGTTAAGATGGAAAGTTTATTTCGGGGAGAAAGTCAGGACTTCCGGGTCGCTGTACTTGGGGGGCAGGAAGCCCGGGGGGCGGGTCTAGGGGTGTTTACCCTTTTCTCCCCTGTTCCCATCACCCTGCTCTGGGGCGGCGCTGTCTCCGCGGCTCTGCTCCGGGGGCGCGTCCTCCCCCCCCCCCACCCCCCCGCTCTCCCCTCAGCGCCGGGCTCAGGGCTGTTCTCTCCAGGGTCACCTGCCGTGTTTGCTCCTCCCGGACTCTCTGCCTCGTCTCTGGGGTGTCTGGTTGGCGCCTCTCAGACGCCCCTGCCCTGATCCAGAAGCCCCTGGAACTCCCCGAGGCCCTGCCCGCGCCGTCCCCGCAGCTGCCCGGTCACCCCCACCTGCCCTGGACTCACCCCAGCCCGTCACCCTGGCCCGGCGTCTGGTGGGTCCATGTGACTCGGGTGAGGAGAGAAAACCCAATGCAAGAAAATGAACTAAAATAAAACATTAAGATAAAAAAGAACAAAAAATCAAAAAGAAATCCTTAAAACATTATAAATAAAATAATTTAAATAAAATCATATAAGAACTAAAATGGGGCCTCCCTGGTGACCTTCAGCCTCCTACCCCTGGGAAGGTCCTAGGATGGCCTGAGTTCAATCCTCAGACCTCTCCTGTCTCACCCGCAGCTCCCCTCAGCAGTTTATTTCAGAGGATCGGCCTGTTCTGCTCCCCACTCTGTGTCTGGTGAATCCTCCAACCTCTGGCAAACTTCCCAGATATATGGAAAACTAAATAAAATAAACTAAAAGAGAACTAAAATAAACTAAAAATAAGGCAAAAAGTAAAATAATTAAAATAAATGAAATACAAGAAATAAAATAATTAAGTACAATAAAAGAAATAATTAACATACAACGATTAAATAACATGTTATTCCCTATAAGGCCACTGTAGTCTGTCTGTGAGCAAGAACTGGACAAGCCAAGGGAGCAGGTCCCCACCGAGCTCTCTAGCACCATCCCTTCCTGTTCCTCATTCCCAATGGTCCACATTTCACTCTGGAACCTCCAGGGTCTGGGACAGGCAGGTCTTCCCAGGCGAACACACCCCCTCACCTCATACTGTCACCCTCAGTGACTCTCCATTTTTGGTTTCTCTCCCCAGCCACCCAGGGGGTCACTTTGTCCACATCCGCTCCACCCTGGGAACACTGTCCTCTGCATTCTACCCCTGCCAGTCAACATTGAGTGGTTATCTCTGTGAAATCCCACTCAAGGACAGGCTGGACACAACACTTCACAATGATGAATGTAAGGAGAGAAGACCTAGTCATCCCAGCTGAGGAGGCAAGATCTGTGTTGCTGGTCCACAGACCTTATCTTGTTTTATGCTCACAGATTTTGTCAGAAGTGCACTGATGTGTGGAGTGATGGAGACCAGCATGGCCCAGCCGGACAAGAGAGGAGACAAGACCTCAGATCCCTGTGGTAAGCTTGAAAGAGATGTTTTTAAACAACACCCACTTCAGAATTAGAAAATGAAACTCTATTGATCTGACAATACCTGCTTCTCATATCCCTGTACAGCCAGCAGTAAGAGATTTTCAAATATTTTGTACTGTCTTTCTGGTGCCACCCACCCCGGAGCATGTGGAACATCTCACTGGGAGGTGTGATCTGCATTTCTCTGGTGGCTAATGAAGCCCAGCACCTTTTCATAGGTTTATTAGCACCGTGGACAGTGGGTTCTGCACAGTGATAACTACCTTCATACCGAGGGGCTGAGAATACATAAATGTTAATATTTGCACATTGTTACTACATTATAAATATCTTAATACACAATATATAAAAATATATTCCTAACTGCTCTTCGCTTCACCAACTGAAATAGCATCAGACATTCCAGCCCCCTAGATGCAGTGGCAGGTCCGGTGGGAGGAGCGTCAGGTACAGTGGCTGTCCTATCTGGTGAGAGGCAAAGGTCTCACTTCTGCCAATTTTCAAAAGGACCAAGTCACAGAAGTCCACACAGGGGGCTCTTCAAGGGCCCAGGAGGGGCTCCTATAAGTGAGGGGCTGGTCTGAAGATTAAACTTCATTCGCTTCAAAACCAAAAAACTTCATAGCTCCTTGCAAACCCACCTCTGCAGGAGATAGTATGGTAGACTAGCGGGTAGACTATGTCAAACTTCATTTTTTATCATCAGGGTTGACCGTTTACTTTCTCCTGGCTTAGGGAGGAAACACCAAAAAATGGAACAAATATTACATCAATAAAATTGATGAACTAAATCACACTATGGTTGCAGAAACAAAGACTTTTTCTCCTCTAAGGTCTGAGGGAACCCTGGTACAGAGGGAAACAGCACCCACTCTAGGCCTTGGAGACCTGCACCTGCCCCACATGGGAGTGGAGACTCTGCCCCTCCCCTCCCCTCCCCTGCCAAGCTGTGCTTTTGGTACAGCCTCCTCCCCCCAGCAGCAGGAGGGGGCCCAGCAGATCTGAAAGTGCATCCTTGTGTGCAGAGGTGGATCAGGGGACAGGGCTTGGGTGAGGCCCGCGACTTCTCTCCTGAGTCCTGACCAGACTGTGTCCTCCCAAGACCAGTAGGCCAGCCTGCTGTTCACCTCCAGCAGTGCCTGATCCCCAACATTTCTTTTTTTTTAATATTTATTTATGTATGAGTACAAGAGTTGGGGTGTAGGCCTGATGTTCCAGGGTAGGAGTGAGAGGATTCACCAGAGACAGAGAGGGGAGCAGAACAGGAGGATACTGAATTACCCTGCTGAGGGGAGCAGAGTGTGAGAGGGGAGAGGCCTGGGCTGCTGGCCCCGCCCCCCTGGGCCTTATGTCCCTGTTCCCACCCGTCACCCCCACGCCCCAAGCCTCCCCCCACTATGAAGCTGTCTCAGCCTCTGCAGCACGAGTTCAATCCCCAGCCTGCCAAGGAGATACCCACATGGTGCAGCAGACCTCTCCTGACTGGCCCACTGCTTCCCTTAGCAGTGTTTTCACTCAATCTGCCTGTTCTGCTCCCCACTCTGTTTCTGGTGAATATTCTCACCCTCCACACCTCTGACCTTGTACCCCAGTTCTTGTATGCATAAATAAATCTTTAATAATAAAAAAAAGAATGTAAAGAGGGCCTCCTTGTTGGCACAAGGGGTTAAGTACAGCACTATGAAGCTATCTGCAGCCTCTACAGCCTGAGGTAGATCCCTGGCTGGCCAGGGAGCTACCCATGTGAAGTAGCAGATCTCTCCTGTGTCCCTGGTGCTCCCCTTAGCAGTATCAATCTGCCTGTTCTGTTCCCCATTGTCTCTGGTGAATCCTCTCATCCCCCACACCTCTGGCCTGTACCCCAGTTCTTGTATGCATAAATAAATAAATCTTTAAAAGAAAGTAAAGTTTGTTTAAAGGAAGAAAGTAAGGACTCCTAGGTGTGCTGTACTTAGGAGGTGCAAGGAAGCTTTTGTGGGCTGTGTCTAAGGATTTTAAACCTTTTTCTCCTCTATTCTCATCATCCAACTTTGTGATTAGCTCTTTCTCCTAGTTGTTCTATTCCTCGGGCAGGTGTATCCATTTTCGTGGCTCTTACCTTAAACTTTACCTGTCCTGTCTAAGGTCTTATTCTCTCAAGTTTTAACTGCATTTGTTTGGTCCTCCTGGACTTTCTGCCTCATCTCTGGAGTATGTTTTGGTTTGCACCTCTTAGAACCTACTGTGCTTATCTAGAAGCCTCTTTAACTCTCCAGGAGGCCCTACCTGTACTGTCACTTCAGCTGCCTGAGCACCCCTAACTTGCCCTGGACTCAGCACCAGCCACTATCACCCTGGTCAGTCATCTGGTGGGATCCATGTGACTTGGATAAGAAAAGAAAACCCAATAAAAACTGAAATAAAATAATAAAATAAAACCAAAAATCTCAGAAATAGTTAAAATATTATAAATAAAATAATTTAAATAAAATCATATAAGACTAAAATAGTGCCTCCCTGGTGACCTACCGCCGCTTACCACTGCGAAGGCCCACAGGATGCCCTGAGTTTGATCCCCAACCAGGGAGTGTCCCACACTGCACAGCAGACCTCTCCTGTCTGTCCTGGGGCTCCCCTCAACAATGTATTTCAGGGGGTGGGTGGCGGGATGGGAGGGATTGGGGTCAGAATGAGGGGGTTGCAATTGTATGGGGAATATAAAAATAAAATTTATTATTTAAAAAAAACAAACAAAAAAAACAATATATTTCAGTGGATCTGCCTGTTCTGCTCCCTACTCTCAACCCCACCTGCACACATCTGGGCTACACCCCAGTTCTTCCACACAAAAATAAATAAGCAAAATCTTAAAAAAAAAATTTCAAAATAATAGAAACAATTCAAAAGAAAAAAGAAATAAGGACATGAAAATAGTTCAGACCTAAGTGGTGGTTCATGTGCGACCCCTGAGAGAGGTAAAGGATCAGGGGAGTGGGCGGCCACGAGAAGCCTTAGCTCTTGTGCAGATTTGGATACAGTGTTCAAAAGGTAAACTCCGAAACAGAAATGGACACATTTGATTAATTATCTATAAGGCATAATTCTTGTAATTGTTTAATTGCTAGATTTAATATTTATAGTCTACTTGTATATAATGATAATAATGTGTGCATTAGATTTTCTCACTCTCACATAGGTGGAAATTTACAAAACAACTGACTAGAAATGACAGCCCACCACACATACATGATTTACAGGTAACTAAATTCTTTCCTTTTGTTTATTATTTTATTGAAGAAAAATAAACATAGGATAAAGGTTTGTCAAGGGCCTCCCTGGTGGTGCAAGGGGTTAAGACGCAGCCTGTGAAGCTGTCCACAGCCTCTGCAGCCTGAGTTCGATCCCCAGCCGGCCAGAGAGCAACCCACATGGCGCAGCAGACCTCTCCTGACTTGCCCACTGCTCCCCTCAGCAGTGTATTTCAGTCAGTCTGCCTGTTCTGTTCCCCACTGTCTCTCATGAATCCTTTCAACCCCCATACCTCTGGCCTGTACCCCAGCTCTTGTATGCATAAATAAATAAATCTTAAAAAAAAAAAAAAGCGTTTGTCAAAAACAATTATCTTAAATTTGGGGTTAAAAAATTTTAACAGGGCCTCCCTGGCAGTGCAAGGGGTTAAGCACTGCACTACAAAGCAATCCACAGCCTCTGCAGCATGAGTTCGATCCCTGGCCAGCCAGGGAGCAAACCACATGGCGCAGCAGACCTCTCCTGTCTTGCTTACTGCTCCCCTCAGTGGTGTATTTCAGGGGATCAGCCTGTTCTGCTCCCCACTCTGTCTCTGGTGAATCCTCTTACCCCCTGCATCTCTGGACTACAACCCAGTTCTTGTGTGCATAAATGAATAAATCTTTTAAAAAAAATGAATTTTCAGTAATATCAGATGCGCCCACTGAGGATGGTATAGATAACCTATATTCATAACATGACTGATGAGGCAACTTAGCTCAATAGGTTGTGACTTTGGGATAAAGGTTTTCTCTTGCAACTGTGGGCTACAAATACTTTAGTCATGGAGGAAGGAAGAATGCAGGGCTGTTGTGCCAAGACCCAGAGAAATCAATTTGCCCCACCCTGATTGTTTTTGACAAATTACCTAGGTCCTTTTTTAAAATTTATTTATTTATGTGTATAAGAACTGGGGTACAGGCCAGAGGTTGGGGGTGTGTGTGTGAGAGGATTCACCAGAGACAATGTAGACCAGAACAGGGGGATCCACTGAGATCCACTGCTGAGGGAAGCGGCAGGCCAGACAGGAGAGGTCTGCTGTGCATGTAGGTTTCTCCTGGCTGGGGGGGATCAAACTCATTCTCAGTGGCTGGTGATAGCTTGATAGTGCTGTCTAACCCCTGCGCCACCAGGGATCCCCTGTCTTATTTCTGTGGATAAATTTTCCAGGTTTCCACTAATAGTAAAATAAAATTTGCTACCGTTTTAGCAATTTCCCCCTTTTATTTGTCTAGTATTTACTAGAACTAATTGTACAGAGGTAACAAGAACATTTCTAGAGGCTTCTGAAACAGTACTGTTTTTCAGGGTAGGTGTATTTTGATTTATTTTTTGTTTTCAAATAAACCTTGACTGTGAAAAAAATCATAACCATTTGAGAGAAAAATTTAAATGACTGGTAATGTAGAATACAGCAATCTGCCTGCTACTCCTTTTTCTTTTTGCTGGAATCTCAGGAATATACATGCCCTTTGTGGTTAATTATTGCTTCTTTAATTTTCACTCAGAATGATCCACACTTATTTCATAACTTTAGCAGTGTGTTTTTGGAACTACATATTTTTTACATAAAAATTCTTTCCCTTCCTGCTTGTAATTTGGGTGAGGACTATAATGATGGACATGACTTTGGCTTGCAAATGATTTTCAGGTGAGGGCCTCCTGGTGGAGGCCGCTCTCCTCAAGGCCTTGAGGAGGCCGCTCTCCTCAAGGCAGCAGTTGAGCGCTGGATTGCGAAGCTGCCCGCAGCCTCTGCAGTGCAGGTTCGATCCCTGGCTGCTCCCCGGCCAACTAGAGGAGGGTCCCACATGGCACGCAGACCTCTCCTGCCGCCCGCTGCTCCCCTCAGCAGTGTACTTCGGTCCTTCTGCCTGCTCTGCTCCCCGCTCTGGCTCTGGTGGATTCTCTCACCCTCCCGCGCTTCTGACTACCCAGTGCTTGTATAAATAATAAATAAATCTTAAAAAAAAAAAAAAAAAGACAAATGATTTTCAGGTGGGGAATCTTCTTGGCTGTTCTGGAAGTGCTTTCCCACAGTTAGGATTGGTTCTAAAGTGCTTCTGATAATACTTGCTTTTCTTAGAAGTTCAGAAGGAAAGTTTGCTTCATCATAGGCCCTAAAGTGTCAATTTCCAATTATGATAAATCCATTCAGTATTGGCTTACTGTGCTTTTATTTCTTTTTTTTTTTTTTTAAGATTTATTTATTTATTTATACAAGCACTGGGTATAGTCAGAAGCACGGGAGGGTGAGAGGATTCACCAGAGCCAGAGCGGGGAGCAGAATAGGCAGACTTTACGAAATACACTGCTGAGGGGAGCAGCAGGCGCAGCAGGAGAGGTCTGTGAGCCACATGGGACCCTCGCCGGCGACCCGGGGATGGAACCTGTGCTGCAGTCCAGCACTCAACCGCTGAGCCACCAGGGGAGGTCCTGTGCTTTTATTTCTTAACTTGAAGGAATGTTTCTGGGGTCCCAAGTCATCCAATTTCTTAGTTTAAAAAAAAAACCAGAGTATATTTTTTAACCATAATATCTCTGAAAATAGGAAGATAATTTGTCTTTCTTAATGTTTCACTGTATTTCCTTTGACACACTCTCAAATTGTCACAATGGAATTATGATGTTTCTTAGGATTTCAAACATTCAAATACTTGCCTATAGACTTTGTGTTTTCTGTTAAACATTAAACTTTCAGCATATAATAAAACTAGGGTTTGGTAGCTTCTCTGAAGAGCATGTTTTATGGGGACTACACCTGAGGGGTGAAATCATATATTGTACAAAAATGGACAATGGTGTAAAAATGATAATTACATTGAAACACATAGTTCCAACATTAAAATAAAATAGAATCTACTGACAAAAATTATAAAATAGTATGGCCTTTCTAGCACCCTTGAAAATGTGACTGAGGCAGCAGTCCTGCCCACCTGTGACTATGCAGGTGCTTCTTTTCACTAACTCTCTCCTCTGCAGGGCAGCAGCTTCCTGCCTGCCTGTGATCTGTACCATGCCAGGACTTCTCCTCACTGTCCTCCCTTAGCGGAGGCCGCTCTCCTCAAGGCCGCCTGCCTGCAACCATGCAGGCCTCTCTCAGGAAACCTGTCCCTTACTGGGCACCTCTTCCTGCCTGTTTGTGTCTATGCCAGTGTCTTACTTTTCTGTCCCTTTTCAAATAAAGCTGTTCTTTAAATAAAAAAAAAAATAGAAAATGGGACTGAATTGATAATATATGCACACGGGCAACCTTACCTTTCCTTGTCCATTTTTATAGCAGACTATTGTTAGTCTTAGACAGCAGCTCATATTTTAGAAAAACACACATTCCTTGTCCATTTGTCTTATAAACTGAAACATCTCTATTTTAGTCATTCTGCATTCAGTCTAGTACAGAGAAAGCAGATTATGGAAACAGACATGAGAGGTGTGGTGAGGAGCAGCGAGCAAGTTCATGCTCCTTCCCCAGCTTCTTTTCACCTGACTTAACTTCTGATACCAGCAGAGGAAGCATGTGGGGTGTACACATCCCTTTCTTTACAATAATTTAATGTAAAATTTTTAATTAACGGAGCAATTTTGAACTAGTAAGTAACCAGAAGACCAAACTAATGCCTTTTTGGTGTCTTTGCCTTCTTGTCTTTGTCCAAGAACCTAGGAATTACAACTTAAGTTGTTTTTACTGTTGAATTGCATATTTATATATTTAGTAAACTTTTCATCTGTTAGTTAATCCTGTATAATTTCTTATATTTATATTCAATACTGAATAACTGAGGGCATCAATTCTAAAAAACAAAAGTATGTTAACACACTGTAGTCTGTTTCCTCGTCACTTGTGTAGTTTGCTGCTTTGCAACTTTTCTGTCATTGGTAAGTTGCAAATATTATTTTTTTCCTCTAAGTAGTTCGGGAAAGTGATTTAAATTGTTGCTTATCAATGGCAGACTTTTTGGATACTAGAATTTAATAGGCATTAATAGGCATGCAAATAAAACAATGAATTTAATTTCTGACCAAATGTTGTCTGATTTTACCAAAAGCAAGGGATAACTTATTGGTTAACATTCATGATGGGGACAGCTCAGTGGAAACAGTTAAACCCTGGATAAGTATGCAAGTAGAGTCCTGGGGCTCTCCCAGACCAACCTGAGGATGTCCTTGATGGTTGTGTGATGCTGAGAATGTCCCTTTCTCCAGTGTGTAGCTTCCTACTTGAGAAACTTGAGATTTTTCACCTGTGTTTTTCACACCTTCTGTCAGCAGCAGTGTCTTTTCCTTTTAAGTAAAATCTTACTCAGCATCTCCCTCCCCCAAACCATAAACACACATTCTCTCCAGGCCATTATATGTCATATTTTATTCATAAATTTCTTTATAAAGTTTAAATACTAAAATAATTAAACATTCTGAAGTTAATGAAAACATGTATAATGCATTGGTGATATAGAGTATAGTAGAATTAAGGTATGGAAAGTTTGTGTGTTGGGAATTATTTTATGTTAATCAAAGCATTTTTAAATTAAATTCAAGTTAACTTTACTGAACCCTGAATCTCCTCCATGGATTATTAGTATTCAATAGAACATATTTTGAAAACCTTAGGATAGATGATTCTTCTGAAAAATTTCTAGCTTTAAGATTTTAAATCATACTTTGAGTTCAGATTTCCTAGTTTAAGACAGTTTCTGAAAATGGAAAAAGTTGCTTTATAGGAGAGGAGGCCTCCTGTGCAGCCTAGCCAGTGCCCAGGATGATGCCAGGAGAGAGGGCTAAAGAGGGCGCGGGGCCTAGAGAATCCAAGGACAGGGAGGGCAGGGCGTCAGACCCACAGTGCCTGCAATCCCACACCCCGATGATCACACCCAGGGTGAGCAACTGAGACCAGAAGGGAAAGAAAGAGCCAGCAACAGGGCCCTGCACTGGAGCCATTTTGCTCACTTAACCAGAAGCAGAGGCAGGTCCTGACCAGGCTGGCTCCCAGCCAGGGGGGCTAGTGCAAAAGTGTGAGCTTGGGGCTCTGGGTGCTGGGGGCCTGGCCCTGGGGATATCTTACTATCTAACACACACACACACACACACACACACACACACACACACGCTACAGGACAACACCCTCATACATGCTCTTTGTGTTCCTGCCAGGATGTAACAGCAGGATGGATGATTGTGCAGTAGGATCTTGCTCAGGTTGTGAGGAGAACAGGAATTTCATCTTTAGCACCGAGAGGAAGTGGCATCATGTGTTAAGCAAATGTGCAGTATCACTCATCCATCACAATCAAGGACATGAGGTGGGTCTACTGTCACCTGTCCTCTGAGGAGGCCTCTGGATGGCAGGGGCTCATCTCCTGGTGCTTAGATATAAACAGCAGGTGATCCAAAGGCACCAATCAAAATGCAGATGCCTCCCTGGTGGCACAGGGGTTAAAGTCTCAGCACTTTCAAGCTATCACCAGCCACAGCAACATAAGTTTGATCCCTGGCCAGGGAGCTGACCCACACATGGCACAGCAGACCTCTCTTGTCTTGCCCACTGCTCCCCTCAGCAGTGTATTTCAGTAGATCTGCCTGTTCTGCTCCCCACTCTTGTGTCTGGTGACTCCTCTCAGCCCCCTGCACCTCTGGCCTATCCCCCAGTTCTTGTATGCAGAAATGAAAAATAAAAATGAATCTTCAAAATGCAGAGTGTCGATCCAGGTCCTGTCTCAGTAGCTCAGGCAGCACCACAGCCTTCAGAAAAGAACAAGGTGTTTGTCCCAGGGGCTGAGAGATCCTGGGTCCCTCTCCGGAGGCCACCCCTCTCCAGGGACCCCTATTTCAGAGCTCTGCCCTCTCTAAAGGTCAGGCCCTTCCCTCCACCTGCCAACCCCACCCTGCGGGTAGTAGCCTGTGCAAACTCCTCCCGCCTGTCCCACTCACAGCTCACACCTGATGAAGAACCTATGTGCTCCCATTCTCAGTGCTGATTCTCCCTCTTTCTGGAGGGCCTGAAACAGCTGGGTGGGAGGGGGAGCGCTATGAGAGAGGAGGGGGGCCTGATGCCCACAAATCCAACCTTGGGGAGGGCTGCATGCCCACATCCCTCTTCCCTGCCCCTTTGTACTGGCCTCCTAACTGGCAGGACACATGGCAGGACACAAGGCATTCAGTCAGACCATCCCCTCCTTCCTACAACCCTCACTGCTCCGCCCTATGTCATCTGTCCTGATCCAGCTTATCCAGGGTCATTTGAGCTGCTGAGTCCTGACCCCCAACCCTGTTTCCAGGCCACCGTGCTCAAGGCAGAACGAGGTCCCTCAGGACTCAGGATCTGGGGGCTGACACGGGATTGCACCAGGCTGAGCCAGATGTCCCTCTGATGGCTTCCTGACAGAGGCCCTGTCAGCTTCTGCCCCCTGCAGTCACCCGAGCCAGGTCTGTGGGAATAGATCCTGATTCCAGTCTTGTGAATTGGAGGCAGAGCCTTCCACTCTCTACCTGGGATGCCACCTGCCCCTCTCCTCTCATCGCCTGGCACAGACACTTCCTGTCGAGACACCCTGCTGCGATCACCAAATGAGCTCTGATGGGCATATGTGTGCTCGTGCCCCCAACCCCACACATTTCCCCACCAACAGAGGTTGTCCTGAAGAGGCTTCTGACCACAGAAGTGGGGCTCAAACCCATCGGTGTGAGCAGGCCCTAAGCCTTGGCGGCCCTTCCCTCCCTCTGGATTTACGGTGAGGACACCTCAGCACTCAGGGCCGGGCTTGTCCAAGTCCTGCTCAGGTGACAAGAGCTCTTCACACCTGGTCTCATTTCCCCCACAGCAGGCCCAGGGAGGAGAGGGCGAGGTCTGGGAATTCCATCCCCTCCTCATACCAGCCATCTGCCCATCCCGTCCCACTCTATTCTGCCCCCAGTACCTTCAGCGTAAACCATGATGCCAAGTAGGATGGCGCAGGGGAGGAGGGTCACAGGGATGAGCCAGGGCATGTGGCTGACAGTCCTGGCCTTGGATGTGACGGTACCTGGGGTCGTGGTGGGAGATGCTGAAATGGAAACCCAAGAGTGAAAACCCTCAACCAGACCCCACAGGTGAGAAGAGGCCGCCTCGCCTCCTGCTGGCCCAGCTCCAGCACAGAGGAGGACGCTCCACTCCTCTACTGTTGGGAGGCCAGTGTCAGGCCCTGGGCAGGGGGTGGGGATGGGCCAGAGGAAGGAGGTGAGCCCCGAACCTCCAGGGGCTCACACATTAAAGGGAAACAAGGTGACCTCTAATCAGTCATCCCTGCTGTGACAGAAGAGGGGACCCCAGGAGGAGGCTGGTAGGACATTCCTCTCAGAAACTGGCATTGAAGGTGGAAAGGAAGGGCTGCAGACACACAGCAGGTGAGACAAAGAGGAAGGTGTTTCTCAGAGAAGGGAAGAGTAAGAAGAAAATCTCGAAAAGTGCATGACTCCCTCGTGTGTGGGATCAGCTAGAAATCCACAGAGCAATGACCAAGGTGAGAGAGAGATGTGAGGAGGGGATTTGGGGAAGGAGGGGTCACACTTGTGACAGTATTCTCCTGAGAGGGACTTCCTACGGCAGGGCCCCCTGCACACACACAGACTCACACACGCATCTCAGAGAACCGCACCTCCTCCCGCCAGCCAGTTGCCTGTCATCTCCAGCATTTTCTCCTCAGGAACTACAACTTGCTGAAGCCTCATAATACAATCCCTGAGGAAAATCCTCAAGAGTAATTTTCTCAGTTCTTCATCCTCCACCCACATCTCTGCCATCCCCGTGTCTGCGGGCGGGTCCACAGTCCAGTGTCTGGTCTGGGAGTCCAGGTGCAGGGAGACGTGTCCATTGACGACAAAGCGCCAGGATGTGCAGCTCTGTGCACGGGCCTCCCCCTCACACACCACCGTGCCCTGCAGGGAGAGGGGCCCTGCCCCGGGGGAAAGATCTGGGTCTCTGTTCTCCACATCCTTGGCCCACCTGGTACCCACCCCCCTGGCCCTTGACTCCCTGCCCTGCTCTGTTCCCCATGTTCTCCCTAGCTCAGGGTCTCTGGAGTGGGACTAACTCCACACAAACACCCTAGTTTTCTAGGCACAAACGCCACAATTTTCTAGGCCTGCAGGCAAGTTGCCCATTCAATATTATTCTAACGATCTCTGGTTGCAGATCAAGCAGTTTCTTCTTGTGCTCCTCCGTCAGGTGGTTGAGGGGTTCAGTCTGTCTCTCCCAGGCCCGTGTGGTGTCCTCCTTGCTCCCCAGAGGAAAGACAAGTTTCACCTTCTGCCCCCCACAGTGACAATGAAGGCAGGGGGAGCCCTCACCTGGCCTTGAACTTCACACTGTGGTTGTCCAGGTCCGGGCTGAGAAATGCTGGAGAAGTTGCAGCAGTGCGGTGGGCGTCCATGACTGTGAAACACAAGTGGGGTTGGAGGGGGAAGAAACGGACCCCAGGCAGCGCTCTCAATCTGTGGGACACAGGAGAAACTCTGAAGGGCTGGGCAGGAAGAGCAAGGCCTCCCTAGGCAGCCTCTTCCCTTCACCAGATTTCTGGACATGCCCCTGGTCCCTCCAGGCCTCCACCCATCTTCAGTGCCCACAGATCAGTCAGGGCCATAACATGCAATTTAGCACTGGAGGAAAAGTCTACAGATCAGAGCCTTGTCAGAATCTCAGCCCAGTGTCCCTGCAGGACACAGAAGAGCCTGCGCAAGGTGGGCATGGAGGGGGGCTGTTCTCAAAAAGGTAGGAGCCAGGTGAGGGTGGGGACAGAAGCCAGGGTGGAGAAGGAGAGTTTGCAGTGCTGGGTCATGGTCTCCAGCAGGCCCAGGCAGATGGGACTAATCTGCTCATAGGTGCTCCGGGTAGCTGGGAAAAGCCATGGTCCAGGCAGGGAAAACAGAATTTCTGAGGCAAGTGGTGGAGGAGGGGATGACCACATGCTTGAAATAAGGGAGGTGTCAGGGTGGAGAGAACAGGACATACACAGACACAGTCTGGGTCAACCAGGCTCCCCAGGGAAGCCCTGGAGACTCTGGCATCAGCTCTGAGGAAAGCCTGGATGAGAAGGGCTGAGAATTCTGCAAGCCCAGTGAGGATTTGTGCTGACTTGGGGAACAGAGGCAGATGTTGTCCCCAGATTGGCCCCCAATAACAATGGGAAGGGCACATGTGGAGGCTCCAGATCAGGAGTCAATGACCAGGAGATGGCTGGTCTAGCAGCCCGGGCCTCAGCACGAGAGGCCTGTGAGCATGGCTACCAGCCAGGACAGCCAGGCTGGACATTTCCAGAAGTGGAAATGAAGTGGAAATGAAACCAACCTGGAACACCTCAGGGTTCTTCAGGAGCCTGAAACGCCCACCCCAACCAACACCTGCCCTTTGCAAGTTTCTAGAACTGAGCTGCTTCTTAGCTGAAGGAAGAGGCTCCAGTGAGGAGGGATCTTGCAAATCCCTCTGGTCTTTCCCAGAGTCCCTTTCCTTGGGTAAGTGGAGAGTTGAGGCCACCTGAAGCTTCACCAGGACCCTGGGGTGTGGCAAGGTGGGGAGCTAGAGGGCTGGCAATGGAGCCTGCCTTGGATTCATCTCACTAGCCCAGGCTACCCACCGGCAACACTCCCTGGTGCATGGCATGCCCCACCGTGGCTGCTCCTTAGCAGCAGCAGGAAGCTGAGAGTGAGCCTGGGGACAAACCACTTCATTGCATTGTGCTGATCCTTAGGAAAACATAAAATGAGCTGGTTCTAGTGAATGTGCACTCACCTCCCTGCAGCGATGTCACTGAGGCTTCCTTGTCAGCTCCAGGGGCCCAATGGGCCACAGGCCCAAGGCAAGGTGCTCTGCTGCGTGGAGGGGTGGGGGCCGCCCCCAGGAGGGGATTTCAGGTGTCCAATCTGTGCTGGGCTCTGCCCTTTTCCCTATACTCCAGCTCTGACCCCTCCAGCTCCTGCCATCCTCTCCCTCCCCATATTCTGGAATCCACCTCTGCCTTTAGTCCTTCCTGCTCTGCTCAGAGGACTAGACTGGGTCTTAATGAAAGGGCCACCCCTTAGGTGTTCCCTCTTAAGGCAGCCATCTGCTGGTTTCTATCCCTGCAGGCCCCAGACCTCTGGTCAACCACAGTGACTCCTGGGAAATGCTGGTTCCCAGGCAGGATGTCTGTTTTCTCTGTAAGTTTGCCAGGCGGCCGTGCCCTGTCCGTCCACTCATATCACACCCTGCACACCAGGCAGGTGATTTCCCACCTTTGAAGCAGCAGCATTTAAACTGTTGGGCACCTCTGGGAGGAAGAATAAAGTGGTGACCCCCAGAAGTTGAGAAAAACGCCTCCAAGGCATGCAGGGGCTGCCAGTCTTTGCTTTCATGTCCACACATTCAAAGACACAAAAGGTGAGGAGGAAGTTCCTTGGACTCCAGTGCCTGTCCCATTTCTGTCTCTGTGACCCTGACCCACGACCTCTGCTGTGCATTCAGCACACACCTGAAGTAGGAGACCTGGTGAGGCCTCAGCATGAGCAAGTTGAAGGTCTTAAAAGAACCTGAGTCTGCCCCACACACAGAACAGGATTCCCCTTCAGGCTTCCTTGGGCTCAGTGTGCAGCCTGCGATGTGCCTGGACTGGAGCCTCCCTGATCACAAGACTAGCGCTCTTTCTCTCTTTCTCTGTCTCCCCAAGTGCCCCCCACAC